AGATGTTCTGGATGGCGCGGAATTGAGATCGCTACAGAGATCAAGTGCGAAAGCGCTCGTCAGCTTTAAGTTATCTGGTTTTCGAAGTCGCCATGAAATTTCGTTGAACTTTGAGAATTCTGGGTTGTTCGACCGAAGGATAAATGTTCTCATTGGTGAGAATGGAGTGGGTAAGTCTCAGACTTTGGTAAACATTGTGCATGGGCTTGCTCGTTCCAAGATTGATAGTTTGGTGCAATCGAATGATCCTTTTAGTCGAGTAATCGCGTTCAGCTCCTCTCCGGGCCGGTCCTCTTTGCCTGGCAAGCTCAGAAGTCAGCATATTCTTCTATACCGTCATTTTGCGCTATCGCCATCCTGGGTGCGTTCAGGCGATAAAGGGGCGCTTACTGCAGCGTTGGTTGACTTGGTTCGGGATGACACTCGAATCGGGGGGAGAAGTAGATTCCAGATTTTTGATCGAGCTTTGAAGAAATGGCTCCCGCTGGCTCGCATTGGTCTTCCGATAAAGAAGTCGCATGCCACTCCGAGGCACTACGTTACGAGGGGCGGTGACGTCTACTTGCCGCTCAGTCTTCTTCTTGGAGCTTCAAGTTCAGTCATGGACAGCTTCCTTGATGGGCTTGACTCGGATCGTGGTCCGGAATTTTTCTCTGAAGGCGATATTCTGGATAGTCGCTATTCTCATGCTTCACGACCGAATGATTCGGCTCGAGGGGCTCTGCGTGAGCTGCAGCCACTCAGTAGTGGTCAGCAACTTTTTTTCAAATTCTCTCTAAATTTGTGCGCGTTCATTGAGTCGGGAGCATTGGTTCTTGTCGATGAGCCTGAGAATCATCTTCATCCAGCGTTTATTACTCAGCTAATGTCACTTCTTCGTGAAGTTCTCCGGGAAACGGGTTCATTTGCTGTCGTCGCGACGCATTCCCCATTTGTTGTTCGAGAGGTTACCGGCGCTGATGTCTCAATTCTGAGCAGAACGAATGATGGAGAGCCACTTGTAAGGAGTCCCAGGCTCCAAACACTTGGGGCAAGCGTTGCTGCCGTATCGGCCTACGTATTTGGGGATGAAACAGTTGTTACGCTCGCTAGATTGACAGAGGACGCGTTTCAGCGTCTTAAGGGGAGGAATGTAGACCCGAATAGCGAGCACGAGCTTGCCATGCTAAGTAAGGAGATGAGTACTGAGGCTGTTGCATACATTAGGGCGAGCCTCCTTCGTAACTCCCTTGGAGGCGATCAATGAAGTATATACGGCGTCCAAAATTTTTTGACTTCAAAGTTGCCGTTGAGATTGGGGGGCAAAAGAATCTAAGCTCGTTCCCGCTTTTTCGGGATAACATTGGGTCGGTTTTCGCGTCCTATAGGCAGTACATCAGGGCAAGGGGAGGTATTCCTGTTTCGCATCCATTGCTGCCTGAGGGGCTGAATACAGCAATGAGGGCGCATTACACTGGTGAGATAAACTCTCTTAAGTTCATTGAATACATCAGAAAAAAAATCTCTCCAGGCGTCTGCCCTGTGTGTGGGGCTCAATCGCCCGCTACGATTGATCATGTGCTCCCGAAAGAGGCATGGCCGGTTTACTCTTTTCTTTCTAGGAATCTTGTTCCGGCCTGTGATCAGTGCAATCGCAAGAAAGGGGTGAAATTCTTTCAGGCGAACTCAGGTGGGCGTCCAATTCATCCATACTATGATAAATTCTTATTGAATCGCATCGCTGTCGCGAAGATTGATCCGCCGTTCGCGTACCCGGTGATTTCAATCGTCGCCCATCAAGGGCCAAGTATTGCGGAGATGGAGGTAATTGAGTGGCATCTCGAGGAGGTTGTTAGGAAGACATCAATATGTGATTCCCTTTGCGAACGTTGGATAAATATTTGCCGAGATCCGCGTGCATACTATGAGACCCTACAGTTTCCTGGTGTGACCGTAGAAATGGCTGTCTTGAGTAAGCTGAAGTCGCAGGATAGCGCTCATGGAACTCCCAATAACTGGGAATCGATGCTGCAATTTGCAATTGCAAATAATCCGGATGCCTTGTTGTATCTTGAGGGATGCTTGGCTGATCCGCGTGAGAACTTGGCTTAGATTATGTTTGGATGAGAATGGTAAGCAAAGATGGCGGCGGGCGTGCCCTGCCGAAGTCTAGGAGGGATATTTCCAGCTGGATGGTGGGCGGGCCGGCGAAGCTTGTTTCAGTCGGATGAGAAGCACGAATGCGATCCAGAATGGGTTGGCCTGACTGATTGACTTTGTGCGGGTGGCGGGAGCGGTAAGCGCAATGAGACAGCCGAACGAGGGACTTGCGCTGGACCGCAATCCAATCTCAGCGAGCGGTCCATCAGAAGAGAGATCACAGTGCCTGTGCGATTCAGCAGCGACACCACACCCTAGTCGGGGTGCCTAGTGGTGGACCGCGAGTTGATCGCCGAGCAGGATTCAGTTTTGGTGCTGGAGGCGTGGGCGTTATTGGTTAACCCGATGGAGTAAGGCAGTTCATGCATAGTCCTTGTGCTTGCGAAATGTCCGACGAACTTCGCGTGGAACCTATCTCCGATGACTGTCAGGTGGGGTCGCTCAGGCGTCCACCTCCACCGCCTGCTCAACGGGTGCCCCGCGTTGCAACCGGGCCCTGAAGTAGGCGGCCACCTGCGGATCGGTGGCGTAGACGTAGCAGCCCCTTCATTCCTCGGGTCATCAAGGTGCGGTAGGTGTTCTTGATGATGGTGTCCGCGAGCTCGGCGGCTTGGGCGGGATGGGACTTTGACAGCTTCACGAATCCCTTCATGGTCTTGTCGTGCCGGTCCCGGCCACGAGGGACGGTCTTCAGAGCGCCGTCTTCCATGACCATGTCCGGCCCGATGATCACGCCGATGTAGTCGACTTCCAGACCCTGGCAGGTGTGGATGCAACCCACCTGGTCAATTGAATCAGGAGAGATGATCCAGAGGCTCCCATCGTCGTTGAGGTTCCATTGCCGGCGATAGCTGCCGATGACAATGTCCATTTCCTTGCTGTTCTTCTTGCTGTTCCAAGGCCAGCAGTAGCCAGCCACAACGCGCGCGCGGTTGCCGCCGTTCCTGGCCTCGATGGCGGCATGCAGCGCGGACGGGTCATCGAACACCTGGAAATCGTAGCTGCCCTCATCCAGCGTGGTGTTCGCGGTTGGGCGGATCTGCAGCACGCATCCAACCAGGCGAGATAGCCATCGGAGCCTGCACAACGGAACTGCGAGGACAGGGCATACTCCTCCTACCGTCGCTCCACGGGCGATTGCAAAGTCCCGAATGGCCTCCTTGGTGCCGACATCCTTGAGCGTGACACGCTGGTCTTCATCAATGAAGAACACGCTGCACAGAGCGGCGTTGATCAGCTCCTGGATCTGGTGCGTGCCGAGATTGCCGTAGAACCCGCTCTTCTCGGTAAGACGGTGTGCTTCATCCACAACCAACACGTCGTAAGCGTTCTGCGCCGATTCGGTGAAGGAGCCCGACCCGCCGAAAAGGTGGACCAGATGGGCGTTCTCGGGTTTCTGGATGAGTGTGTTGCTGTACAACGGCACGAGGTGCGGCATTCTTGGAGATGTACTTGACGGTCAACCCATCGCGAAGCGCCGCGAGAAGATTCACCGCGACGATTGACTTGCCAGTGCCCGGGCCGCCCTCGGACGATGACAACACGCGGCTTGCCGCTGGCGTGCGCTTGGGCGCACGCGGCCTTGGCGGCTTCAAATACCTGCTTCTGTTCATCCAGTAGTGCAAAGGCGCTGTTTCCCCTCAGCAGTCGATGCACGTCGTCGGCAAGCGCCTTGGAGGGACGGAGGCGGCCATTCTCCAGTTCGGCAAGCACGGGCGCGCCGTCGCCGTTGCACGTGTGCTGACTGATGAAGCTACGCAGCCTTTCAAGATCGCCGGCAACTCTTCAGGAAAAGCGGCGCACGCTCGATGTAGGGCTGATAGTGGGGCGAGTCGATCACACCGTCCGGCACATAGTTGTGCAGATAGGCGCAGGGATGTAGTTGCAGCTTTCCTTCATGGACCGCTTCGTTGAAGCCTTCCAGGAAAGCGGCATATGACCATGCCCTGATAACTTGGGTGGACGAGTGACTGCCCTCACGAAGCTCAACGATGGCATCGCGCTTGGTCGGCTTGATGGCAGACCACTGTTTGAGCTCAACGATGATGACGTGGGGCGAGCCGTCCTCAGCGTGGCCGGTCAGGACGACATCGATGCGCTTCTTCGACTGGGGAAGGACGAACTCCACCGCCACGCCGATGTCATTGGAATGGAAGGGTGAGTAGAGCGCACGCGCGACGTATCGAAGCGATTCGCGCCAGGATCGAACTTCGGACTCACCGACGTCACCCCTCGTCGCCGCCTTGAAGCTGGCACGGATGACCTCCTCGATTTCCTCGTCGTTGCATTGGCGAAGGAACGACGCTTTGTCGGCCTGATAGACGATCATGGCTGCGCCAGCTTGTTGTACTTGGTGCTGACACCCCTTGAGAGGTCGACCGGGTACTTGGCGGCATTCGTGGCGAGCTTGCTGCTGACGGCTTCGTTCAGGTCGATGCCGAGTACGTCCGACAGCCGGATGAGGTACAGCGCCACGTCGGCGATTTCCTCACGCACTGCGCTGGCGGTGGCTTCAGAAGCTGCCGCCTTGAAGAGAGTCGGCCTCGGTCATCCACTGGAAAATCTCGTTCAGCTCTCCAACTTCGCCGGAGAGGGCCATGACAAGGTTCTTGGGGGAGTGGAACTGCGCCCAATCACGCGCTTCGGCGAATTCCCTGAGCGCTTGGGCAGCGCCCCGAACCTCGATTAGAGGGTGTTCCATGGCATGGCCTTAAACGACAGTATTTGGCCAATTCTACCCATGCCAGCGGGGTCAGAACGACATTCGGACTGATTCGGCCTGTGACACCTGATTCCAAGGCAATCCGTTCGGGCCAAGACAGCCGCTACACTGGCTGCCTACGCCCGATGGAAGCGCGCCCATGTTCAGTGGAAAAGTCGCCGTGGTTACCGGCTCCACCAGCGGTATCGGTCTTGGCATCGCCACGGCGCTGGCGCGGCAAGGCGCCGACATCGTGCTGAATGGCTTTGGCGATGCAGCAGAGATCGAACGCATTCGTTCCCAGCTGGAAACCGAATTCGGCGTACGGGTCGCGCACGATGGTGCCGATCTTTCCCGTGGCGAGGCGGTGCGCGGAATGATCGACCACGCCTTTGCGAAGATGGGCCGCATCGACATCCTGGTGAACAACGCGGGCATTCAGCACACCGCGCCGATCGAGGAATTTCCCGCTGAAAAGTGGGATGCGATCCTGGCGCTGAATCTCTCGGCGGTGTTCCATGCAACGGCGGCGGCACTGCCGCACATGAAGCAGCAGGGCGCCGGGCGCATCATCAACATCGCGTCGGTACATGGGTTGGTAGGCTCGGTGAACAAGTCGGCCTATGTGGCGGCCAAGCATGGCGTGGTGGGATTCACCAAGGTGACCGCGCTGGAGAATGCGGGCACCGGCATCACCGCCAATGCCATCTGCCCGGGCTGGGTGCGAACGGCGCTGGTCGAGCAGCAGATCACTGCGTTGGCAGAGAAGGAGGGCACGGATCAGGAATCCGCCGCCCGTGCGCTGCTGGCCGAAAAGCAGCCTTCGTTGCAGTTCGTGACGCCCGAGCAGCTGGGCGAGATGGTGGTGTTCCTTGCGTCGGATGCGGCGGCGCAGATCACCGGCACGGCGCTGCCGGTGGATGGGGGCTGGACGGCGCGCTAATTGGCGGGCTGTGCGCGCCGCTGCAGCATCGGCAGCGCGACGAGCGTCGCGAGGATGGTGAACAGCACCAGCGACGACCCCACCGTGCCGAAGCCCAGCCCGCCCTTTTCCAGCGGCTTGGTGAGCAGGTCGCCGAAGGTGGCGCCGAACGGGCGGGTGAGCACGAAGGCGATCCAGAACAGGATGACTTGGTTGATGCCCTTGATGCGGGTGGCCAGCGCGGTGAGCGCGATGAGGCTGCCGATCAGCAGCGCGCCGCCGGTGAAGCCCAGCCCGGAATCGTCGGCGAGGAAGTCGCCCAGGGCGGTGCCGAGCGTGTTGGAGAACAGCACGGCGGTCCAGTAGAAGCCTTCGGCGCGACGCGATGCGATGTTGCTGACCGAGATCGACTTTTCCGACACCCGCCACGCCAGCAGCACCAGCGCCAGGCAGCCGGCCAGCAGGCTGGCGCCGGTGGCGTAGCCCAGGTCGAGCGCGCGGTCGAGCAGGTCGGACATCGTTGTGCCGGCGGTGCTGGTGGCGAGCACCACCGACCAGAACAGCACCGGGTGGAAGCGCCTCGCCGACAGCTGCACGGCCAGCAGGCCAGCGAAGATGGTGAGCAGGATGGCCGAGCTGGCCACGTAGCCCAGGTTGAGCGTCATCGACAGCAGGTCGCCCGCGGTCTCGCCAAGGGTGGTAGCGGCGATCTTCATCACCCAGAACGAGAGGGTAACCGCCGCCACTTTGCTGTGCAGGGAATCTGCGTCTGAAGCACTCATCGAACGTCGCCTGGGGAGCCTGCGGGTGATGCTGTGGCGGGCGGCGTCGGAGTGCGGTCGGAACCGGGTTTGGCAGCGGTGAGCGTGGGGCGGGCGTTCAGCAGGGGAACGCGCTACGCTGCCGCCTGCATCCAGGACGGGGAGACAGGGCATGGCCGGTTCGATTCCATCGTTTGCGTTGGCAGTGGGCCTGCTGGTGTTGTCCGCGTCTGCAGGCAGTGCCAGCGCGCAGCCGCGCGACGCCACGTATTCCAGCGTCTGCAGGCATGCCGACTCGGGCGATCTGCTGGGCCTGGAGGTGTCGTTTGTCAGCGAGGCCGATGGCGGTTACGCATTGGTCCAGCGTTACGAGGGCGCGGCCATCGCGCCGGTGCTGATGCAGGTCAAGCAACGCGGGCGTGATCTTGTGCTGGTAAGCGGCGCTACGGATTCCATTGTGCTGCGCCAGGACGGGAAGACCCTGCGGCTGACCTACCTTGATGGCCAGCTGAGCGCTGCGGGCAGCTCGTCGGAAACCCTGCTCCCATCGTTGGCGGTGTGGCAGGGAAAGAGCGTCGCCGCTTGCCGTTAGCGCGGCGACGCTCATTCAACCCGGGCTGGGATGCTCAACTCGGCTTCGCAAACACATCCAACCCCTTGCCCGTCTCCAACAACGACTTCAGGCTCGACAGCACGATCGGCCAGCCCTGGCGGATGCCGGTATCCATGCCGCTGCCCGGTTCCAGCTCGTCGTGGGTGACGGTCAGCCGCACCATGTCCTGGTAGGGCACGATGTCGAAGGTGACGCGGCTGTAGGCATCCGGGTTGTCGGCCTGCGAGGCGGCGGCCCAGGTGATGACCAGCCGCGAGGGCGGGGTGCTTTCCACCACCTCGCCGACCAGTTCGACCGAGCGCGCTTCGTTGGCACGTACATGCTGCCAGCGCGAGCCGGGCTTCCAGTCCGAGACGTTTTCGTGGCCCCAGTAGCGGCTGGCGATCTCGGGGCGGGTGATGGCCTCGAACACCTTCTGTGGGGTGGAGGCGATATAGATCACGTGGATGAAGCGGGTGGACTCTGCGGACATCGTCATTCTCCTTCCAGTTCTCGTTTCAGGTCATGCAGCAGGCTCAGGCGCTGCTGCTCGAATTTGCGTACCCAGCGCTCGTACACCTCGTGCAGCGGCACCGGGTTGATGAAGTGCAGCTTCTCGCGGCCACGGCGCACGGTGCTGATGAGGTTGGCGTCTTCCAGCAGGCCCAGGTGCTGGGTGACCGATTGCCGGGCCATGTCCAGGTGTTCGCAGAGCTGGCCCAGGGTCTGGCCGTTGTCCTTGCAGAGCAGGTCCAGCAGCGTCCTGCGCGTGGGGTCGGCCAGTGCCTTGAATACCTTGTCTGCATTCATGCGGGGCGTCTTCAGTTCCAGTTGTCGATCCTGACGTCGTGCGGGTTGGGTTGGCCTTTGCCGGTTTCCAGCAGGGCCTTGAGGCTCATCAGGAACACCGCCCACTTGGTGCTGCAGTGGGAGGTGAATTCGACGCGTTCCTTCCAGCCTTCGTGGGTGAACAGGACGATGCAGTAGTCGCCTTCCTGTTTCAGCGCGAAGCGTGCGTGGGTGCCGATCCATTCGGCGGGGCCGGCGAGGAACTGCCAGAGCACAAGCTGGCCGGGAATGAGCTGTTCCAGCTTCATTTCCATGGCGCCGATTTCCTGGCCGTTGTTGGTGAAGCGCACCTTGACCGTGCCGCCGACATCTCGGTCGCCGTGGCTGTCTTCGGCCCACCAGGCGGCGACGCCTTCGGGGGTGGCCAGGGCTTGGTACACCTGGCTTGCGGGGGCCTTGATGCCGACCCTGTGTGCGATATCCACCATGGCAGCTTCCTCGCGATGGGCGGGCGGGTGCCGTCCTTGGGTGGACTATAGGCAGGCAAATGCCTGCATGGCAAATATGGTTGCGGAGGGGGTTGCCAGGCATGGCCGGGCACTGCTGCGGCATTTGGTCGCAAGCGCTCGCAACCATTCCTAAGCGGCGCTGACGCATGGGGCGTTTACAGTGGGGTTACCCCCTCCAGGAAGGAGCAGTGCATGTATTACAGCAGTGGCAACTACGAAGCCTTCGCGCGCCCGCGCAAGCCGGCGGGTGTGGATGGCAAGCGCGCGTGGTTCGTCGGTTCGGGGCTGGCGTCGCTGGCCGGAGCGGCGTTCCTGGTGCGCGACGGCCGCATGGCGGGTGAGCGCATCACCATTCTTGAGCAGCAGCAGATTGCCGGCGGCGCGCTGGATGGACTGAAGGTGCCGGAGAAGGGTTTCGTGATTCGCGGCGGCCGCGAGATGGAAGACCACTTCGAATGCCTGTGGGACCTGTTCCGCTCGATTCCTTCGCTGGAGATCGACGATGCCAGCGTGCTGGACGAGTTCTACTGGTTGAACAAGGATGACCCGAACTATTCGCTGCAGCGGGCCACGATCAATCGCGGCGAGGATGCGCATACCGATGGCCTGTTCACCCTGAGCGAGCAGGCGCAGAAGGACATCATCGCGCTGTTCCTGGCCACCCGGCAGGAGATGGAGAACAAGCGCATCGACGAGGTGCTGGGGCGCGACTTCCTGGACAGCAACTTCTGGTTGTATTGGCGCACCATGTTTGCGTTCGAGGAGTGGCATTCGGCGCTGGAAATGAAGCTGTACCTGCATCGCTTCATCCACCACATCGGCGGCCTGCCGGATTTCTCGGCGCTGAAGTTCACCAAGTACAACCAGTACGAATCGCTGGTGCTGCCGTTGGTGAAGTGGCTGCAGGACCACGGCGTGGTGTTCCAGTACGGCACTGAGGTGACCGACGTCGACTTCGATCTGCAGGCCGGCCGCAAGCAGGCCACGCGCATCCATTGGACCCACGACGGCGTGGCCGGCGGCGTCGATCTGGGCGCGGATGACCTGGTGTTCTTGACCATCGGTTCGCTGACCGAGAATTCAGACAATGGCGATCACCACACGGCGGCGCGCTTGAATGAAGGCCCGGCACCGGCGTGGGAGCTGTGGCGGCGCATCGCCGCGAAGGACGCGGCGTTCGGGCGCCCGGATGTGTTCGGTGCGCATATTCCCGAGACCAAGTGGGAATCGGCAACGGTGACCACGCTGGATGCGCGCATTCCCGCCTACATCCAGAAGATTGCCAAGCGCGACCCGTTCAGTGGCAGGGTGGTGACCGGCGGCATCGTGAGCGTGCGCGACTCGCGCTGGCTGATGAGCTGGACGGTGAACCGGCAGCCGCATTTCAAGAACCAGCCCAAGGACCAGATCGTGGTGTGGGTGTATTCGCTGTTCGTGGATACGCCCGGTGACTACGTGAAGAAGCCGATGCAGGACTGCACCGGCGAGGAGATCACCCGCGAGTGGCTGTACCACCTGGGCGTGCCGCTGGACGAGATCGACGAACTGGCTGCGACCGGTGCGAAGACGGTGCCGGTGATGATGCCGTACGTGACCGCGTTCTTCATGCCACGCCAGGCCGGTGACCGCCCGGACGTGGTGCCGGAGGGGGCGGTGAACTTCGCCTTCATCGGCCAGTTCGCCGAGTCGAAGCAGCGCGACTGCATCTTCACCACCGAGTATTCGGTGCGCACGCCGATGGAAGCGGTGTACACGCTGCTGGGTATCGAGCGCGGCGTGCCGGAGGTGTTCAATTCCACCTATGACGTGCGTTCGCTGCTGGCCGCAACCGGGCGCCTGCGCGATGGCAAGGAGCTGGACATTCCCGGGCCGGCCTTCCTGCGCAACCTGCTGATGAACAAGCTGGACAGGACGCAGATTGGTGGCCTGCTGCGCGAGTTCAAGCTGGTGCAGGAGGACTGAGCCGGCGGAAGGGAGGCAGCCGGTGAGCGCATCGGCTGCCTCACGCCTCACGCGATGCCGTCGGTGGAGCGGCTCAGCTGTTCCCAGGCATCGAGGGTGCTGGCCATCGACGCCAGCTTCGCGCGCACCAGTTGCAACGCGTCGCTGCCCAGCAGCAGGTGGCTGGGCGGCGCGTCGTTGTTGATGATCTGCAGCATGGCCTGCGCGGCCTTCACCGGATCGCCCAGCTGGTGGCCACTCTTTGCCTCGCGCGCGCTGCGGATGGGATCGAACAGTGCGTCGTAGTCTTCAATGCTGCGCGGTGCCCGTGCCATCGAGCGCCCGGCCCAGTCGGTGCGGAAGGAGCCCGGTGCAACGGCGGTGACGTGGATGCCGAACGCTGCCACTTCCTTGCCCAGCACTTCGCTGATGCCTTCCAGCGCGAACTTGCTGCCGCAGTACCAGGCGATGCCGGGCAGGGTGATGAAGCCGCCCATGGAGGTGATGTTGAGGATGTGGCCACGGCGGCGCTCGCGCATGTGCGGCAGCACTGCCTTGATCATTGCGGCGGGGCCGAACACGTTCACTTCGAACTGGTGGCGCAGCTCGGCCTGCGTGGATTCTTCGAGGATGCCTTCGTGGCCGTAGCCGGCGTTGTTGACCAGCACGTCGATGGCGCCGACGTTTTCTTCGACATCGGCGACGAGCGCATCGATGGCATCGGCATCGGTCACGTCCAGCAGGCGGCCGAAGGCGCGGCCGGGAGCCAACGCTTCGAATGCCACGCGCGCTTCGTCGTTGCGCACGGTGCCGACCACGCGGTGGCCGGCCTGCAGGGCCTGCTGGGCCAGGGCGCGGCCGAAACCACTGCTGACGCCGGTGATGAGGATGAGGCGGGAGGAGGTCATGGTGATCAGGCTCGTTGGGGGAGGGCTTGCACGTTAGTGCTTGAGCGATCCGCGCCACAGGCCTAGGATTCGTCCATTCTTGCCTATTCCTCTGGAGTGCTCGTGTCCGTGGTCGATTCCCAGCAAGGGCAGATGCAGGCGCGCATGGTCGGCCTGCTGCAGACCCTGGCGGTGGAGGAGGGCTATACGCTCACACCGTTGCCCGGGGTGCGCCTGCTGCGTTCGAACCGGCCGCTGGCGCGCACGCCGGTGCTGTATGACCCCGGCATCGTGATCGTCTGCCAGGGCGTGAAGCGTGGCTATCTGGGCGGGCAGGTGTACCAGTACGACGCGCAGCACTACCTGGCGGTGTCGGTGCCGGTGCCGTTCACGATGGAAACCGAGGCGTCGGAACAGGCGCCGCTGCTGGCGATCTATCTGCACCTGGACCTGCAGCTGGCGGCGGACCTGCTGATCGAACTGGGCGAGCAGGCCGGTGCAGGGCAGGTACCCGCACAGAGCATGATGTCCAGCCCGATGCAGGCGCCGATGCAGGCCACGGTGCTGCGCCTGCTGGAAGCGTTGGCCGATCCGCTGGAAGCTGCCGTGCTGGGGCCGGCGCTAGTGCGTGAGCTGTACTTCCGCGTGCTGACCGGCGCACAAGGGGCTGCGATGCGCGAGGCGCTGGCCATGCGCGGGCGCTTCGGCAGCATCGGCAAGGCGCTGCGCACCATTCATGCGGCCTATGCCACGGCCCTGGATGTGGGTCAGCTGGCGGCCGAGGCGGGCATGAGCGTGGCGACCTTCCATGACCACTTCCGCGCGGTTACCGGCACGTCGCCGATGCAGTACGTGAAGTCGACCCGGCTGCATCAGGCGCGGTTGCTGATGCTGCGCCAGCGCATGACGGCCGAGGCCGCGTCGCTGGCGGTGGGCTACGCCAGCCCGTCGCAGTTCAACCGCGAGTTCAAGCGCCTGTTCGCGCTGCCGCCGGCAGCCGAGGTGGCACGCATGCGGCGCAGCTTTGCCGTACCGCCGGGGCCGGCAGACGCGGTGTACGTGTCTTCGCATTGAGGGGCTCGGAACAGGACCGGCCTGGTTTGCTGGGATGCCGGCCAGCGGCCGGCGCTACGGGTGGGGTATTGACTGCGGGCCTACCTACTAGTAGGTTGTTTCATATGAAAGACTCGCTCTCGCCCAAGGCCCTGGAGATCCTGGCGCACGCCCGTTCGCTGCTGGAGGCCGGTGGCTACAACGGCTTCAGCTATGCCGACGTGTCGGCACGGGTCAACATCAGCAAGGCCAGCATCCACCACCATTTCCCCAGCAAGGCGGACCTGGTGCGCACGGTGGTCGAACTGTACCGGGCCGAGGCGCGCGAGGGCCTGGCGCTGCTGGACCGGCAGCTGGATGACCCGTTGCAGGAGCTAAATGCCTACGTGGACTACTGGTCGGCCTGCATCGCCGGCGGCACGTCCTCGTTCTGCATCTGCGCGATGCTGGCAGCGGAGTCGCCGATGATTCCTGCGGAGATTGCCGATGAAGTGCGCGGCCATTTCGAGGACCTGAGCGGCTGGCTGGCGCTGACCCTGCAGAAGGGCGCAGCAACGGGGCAGCTGCACCTGCAGGGCTCCGCGGCCGATGAGGCCAAGGCATTCATGTCGGCGGTGCATGGCGCGATGCT